GAATGATGAGGGCAATGAATGTACAAATGTGCTTTACACAATTGATGTATGTATGGATTGTGATAAGAGTTGTATGAGCCCCTAATAAAATGACTCAAAACAAAACATGTCCTCAATAAATACCTGTGAAACAAATGGAAATACTACTACTTCAGAATATAGTTGTGAGTTTTGAATAACTTAAAATGTTAAGCACTTACAGCAGTACTCCAAAAAACCAAACCCACTGCCATCACGTCTACTGCACTTATTGCAACACATCACAAAGAGTTTCTGAGTGTAAACTTTCATAGGCGCAGACAGCCGCATCTTTCTCTGGCAGAGTGGCTGGTGGGTTTGAACTGCCTACCTTGCTGTTAGCAACCCAATTCCTAACCCATTGTGCCACGAGGGCTCCTTGAGAACAGTACTAGCATGCAGTAAAAGCTCAATGTTAATATTTCAGTAGGTGGGTTATTAGACAAAGGTATTTAAAATTTTACTCCTAGATCTGAGATCCTCCTCTTCTTGGGATATTTAACCTCATACTTGCAAAATAATTTATAAGCCTGGGAACAGCACGGGCAGCCAGCAACTACAAGAAGCTGAAATAGATAAGGAGCTCCCTGGAGAGACACGCCCTGATTCAGACGTCTATCCACCAAATCTGTGAGAAAATAAACTTCTATCCTTTAACATTCCCACCGGCTTTTGTTAAGGCAGCACTGGAACAAAAACCAACTGGTATGAAAATCTAAGTTGGACTTTCAGCAACTACAAGGTCCAGGAGCTGCTGGTCAGTGGACTTTATGATCTCCACCCCTCAAAAACTGAAACTCAAATTTAAGTTGGCATCTGTGACCCAACTCCAGAATGAAACCTTTCTTGCTGGAAAACTTAAAACCATTGAGAGCAAAGGCTGTGTCTTTATTTTGTTTTCCTCACCTCAGTAACCTAAAAGGAGTGTCTCACAACACACAGGTTCTTAGTAAATGTTAGGTAAACAGATTAATTTTAGGACGTGTAATTTTACCAAACTATATTCAATTACAATTTCCTTACTAACTGCTTAGTGTCGACAACAGTAAAGAATCTAAGACACAGTCTTTGGACTTAGAGCTGAAAACCCCTAGAGTAAGTCCCGGCAACACAAACTTCCTTTACAGAGCTGCTTCTTCTTTCTTTATCATTTTGAAGTGTGACTATATGCCTGTTGCAGAGGTTACTGCACGGTTATTAAAAGAGAAAATATATGTGAAAGCTCTAAAGTTTTACGTATCTATGACTATTATATTTCAAAAGACCAGCTCTACTTATATGGTAGAAAGGCAGCCATGAAATTAGATGCATAAATATGAAACAATGTAGTGCAGAAAAATGAAAAATCACCTATGCTAACTAGCCATATTAAAGGCAAACTTGCTAAATTATTATCTTAACGTGCAAGTATTTTACACCTCCTACATAGGCTGTCAGGTAAAGGGGTCTCTTTAGAAGTTCAAGACAGTGTTCAAAACCAAGCAGGTAGCCAAACAATACTGACCAGCTGACTTTTAATTACGAGGATGGTCTTTGGGGTGAGTTAATTACTCATCGAAGAGTTTTATCTAACTTATTTGTAACTACAGTCTATCCATTATTTCGATAGAAATAGTCTAATCGTATCTGAAATTATTTTTATAATAAAATAACAGCAAATTACCCTAGTGGAATACAGCTGAATTTGGGCATTTATATAAAAATAAGCTATTTACTGTATTTTTACACAAATAATGTGAGCCTTCCACATTTTTCTGCCAACTGCTCCCTCCTCCTACCAGGTATTTTTCTAAGTGCACTACGCCCGTTTTTTCACTAGTAACGTCCTATGAAAACAGCAGAAGGTGTCAGAGCCCACACATGTGGAGGGTACGTTTGTGTCCTCTGCGTAGAAACACAGTATGAGAGCGTTACTATTTGACAAACATCTTTAGGGTTTATACTTTATATCTCAAAGCTTTTACAATAACTTACCAATGTGGCTGATGAGTTGCCTGAACTGATCGAGGTAGCTCTGTCCCTCTGGAGTTATCCCGAGTTTTCTGATGCCTCGGTTGAACTTTTCTGCTCTTTCAAAAGGGTACTGCAGAGAAAATTTTAAGACTGCCTTTACTGTCACATAAAATGCCTACCCGTATCCCTTAGTCCTCAAAGTGACATCTTTGTACGTGCAAATGTGTAAGTTTAGGGAATAGACATATAAAGGCCATCATACTACATTATCAGAAACAGTGCTAGAGAACGGGAGGGAGTAAGAGGAATGGGAAGTTTTAAAATGAGTATGCATTATTTTGTATTTTTTTCAAGTCAATAAAGTTACGTCTGAAGACATTGATTATTGAATGTTTTCCTTGTACTTTATTAAAACTTTTGTTATATAAAAAGTTGAATAAAACTAACTCAAAAAAGAGCAAGGGAAATACCTTATGATCATTTTGGTCCTTGATTTCCCGGAAAAATCGAATGTCTTTAATCAATCTGGATTTGATATGTTCATCATACATAAACTGGCTAAATATATAGAACTTCTTTTTCAAAAACTGGTAGGTGAAATTAACCTGTTAAGATTCCAAATATTGAAAAAGTTCATATAAAAGTAAAACTTAAATCAGTATTAGAAACAATGACCTAAATTCACTTGTTGTAAAGTCTAACTTGACATGGATATTTTAAATTATGTACTGTCTACAAAATAGATACAGATCTTTCTAAAAGATTTCTGCAGCTTTACCAAAGAAAAGAAAAGACTCTCATACTAGAACAAGAACAGTGGTAAGAATCACAAAGCCAGACTCAAGACTGGATGTTATATACAAGTTTCTACTCTCCTAGAAAATTGTGTGTTACTGCCAACATTCTAAACCAAAACCCAACCCCCCGGCCATTGAGAATCTTTCTTGCCTGGAATGGCTGGAGTTTGAACTGCTAACCTTGTGGTGTGCATTCCAACACATAAGATAAGAATGAGCTACCAGCGCCCATTCTAGAATGGTAAGAAACACGATGCTCTTTGAGTGAGCCTGATCTATCCCCAGCACAAATCACCATCCTTTTGCTTCGACTACTTTAATGTTCCTCCAAATGGCCATTCTACAATGGCTCCATCCAGCAAGCAAGCACTCCACTCTGCAGCCAGAGTACTCCTCTCTCCCCAAACAATTTCTCATAAAAAGCAACAAAACTGCGATCAATGATTCACTCTCCAAAGAAGTTCTGCAAGAACCTAGAGCTAGATCTATGCCGGGTCCTCACTCTCCACAGCGGTTTGCAATCATGACCAAGCCCCTTCCAAGGCTTGTCGTGTCCTAGAGCTTGTACCAAACCCAGTATCATCTGAGCATCACACACCTTAAATTCACTAGCCTCAAATCCAGAAATCCGGTCTGAGATAACAGGTAGTGTTTGTTTACCATGAGTCTACCCGAAACTACTTTTCAAGCTATTTAACAACCCGGCCCCAGCCCTCAAAAAATGGTTCTTACCGTTGTATTCATGATTCCTGTGCCATGTGTTCGAATAGAATTGGCTATATGCCGAATATTTATTGTATTCAAGTGTTTGTTGTTGCTTGTTCGTTCAATAAAGATCTGCAGTGAAATAAAGGAATACTCAAAAATAACACAGTCCCCAGCAAACACTGGTCAGTGACCAAAACAAAGTCTAAAGATCATCTAGCTCAGCAGTTCTCAACCGGGGGTGGGGGGTGGGGGTGTGATGTGACCCCTTTGGGGGTCAAACGGCCCTGTCACAGGAATCTCTCAATTCATAACAGCGACATAAAGACAGTTAGGAAGTAGCAATGAAAATAATGTTAGGTTGGGGGGGATCACCACAACATGAGGAATTGTAAAGGGCCGTGGCCTGAGGAAGGTTGAGAACCACTGCTCTAACTGAAAAACCATTCCAGAGAACGGTATAGTCAATGCAAGGGGGCAGCAGGATGCCTTTGGGTTCATTTTACTAGCTTTCCCTCAGAAGAATCAGTTCCTTGCCCTTCCCACTACGTATCCACTCGAGGAAAGACACAGAGGTCTCAAAAATTCACTCACCTGATTATTGAGATTATAGAGGTATCGAGACACAAATATATGAATGTTTCTCATAATTTCCAAAACATCAAGACCCTACAACACAATCCATACAGAGAACCTATATTAAAGATAATCAGCTAAATTTTCATCAGATAGCGAGTTTTCAATGATGATGTTACTTAAGATTATTAAATAATTTTAAAGAAAGAACTATACAATAAAAGATATGACCCCAAAGTATTAAAAGAGCCTTCAGACATGACCAATCAGGACTGTCTCCTTGGCAGCCGAGCTGCTGAGTGACTTCTCTCATTTGTGTACACAAGTACAGTCAAATTTAATATTCAAAGAAGATTTTCGAGTTTGTCTTCTAAAAATTTCCATTACATTTTTTCTAAAAAATAATTTTATTGGGGCTCTTATTACGCTTATCACAATCCATATATACATTGCATCAAACACATTTGTACATATGTTGCCATCATCATTTTCAAAACATTTTCTTTTTACTTGAGCCCTTGGTATCAGCTCATTTCCCCACCATTTCCCACCCTCCCTCCCTCATGAACCCTTGATAATTTATAAATTATTGTTTTTCTCATGTCTTACACAGACTGCTGTCTCCCTTTACCCACTTTTCTGTTGTTCATCCCCCTGGGAGGGGGTTATGTGTCGATCATTGTGATTGGTTCCCCCTTTCTTTTACAACCAAGTAATCTAGTGGTTAGATTCTAAAAGGTGGATGGGAGATATTAGTGAACACAGGTAGAAAACCTATTTTTTTTCACATATCACGCACAATTTATTGTATACAATTCTCAAAATAAATAGGTATTCTTCTAAAATCCACAGGTAAATAAATGGAAGCTGAGGGGCTTCGCCAACGCCAAATTATTAATAATTTGAGACAGAACCTGTACCATTTCAAGTATCTAATTGCAAAAGTTTATGCTGCCTTCAATGATCCCTGGTAGCAGTGTGGGTTAAGTGTTGTGATGCTAACCACAAGGTTAGTATTTCAAACCTATAAGCCACTCCATGGGAGAAAGATGATGCTGCCCGCTCCAATTTAAAAAAAAAAACAGTCTAAGAAACTCTACACGGGGCAGTGGGGGGGTCAGAATTAATTTGGTGGCAGGAAGTTGGGGTTTTTTGGATTATCACAGATTACCTTTCTTATTAAATTATCAACTAAGAATCCTTCATTCTTCAGATATTCTAAAACCTAATGGCATCACACAAATTGCCCTAAAACTTTCTAATGATGGCTTTTTAATTTTATTTTCATTATAGCTCTTACCATGTTCTATCCTAAAATTTTATATACTCATTTTTTTCCTCCGACAAGACTCTGGGTTCAGGGGTTGAGATTATGTCTACTCATCTTTCATGGAATTCCAAAATCTATCTGAGTGCCCACCAGGGAGTAGGTTCTCAATAAACACTTGAGATCCAAAAAATGAACAAAACAGATCTTAGAAAGGATCTACATATACAATAAAAGAAAAGTACGGCCTTAGAACTGAAATGATGGAAAATCTGGAACTGAGTAAGGGTTCTTTGTTAACTGTATCAGACAGGCCTGGATTACTGCAGGCAGAATTACATGCAAATCAACTAGTCACATAATCCACTATGCTCATGATACTGCCATATTGTGAATACGCTCATTGAATTAGCAAAACCAAATGATCCTTTATTATTTCTCATTTGAAGAACAAATCCATTTATAAACATAAGTATAACCATTTTTCCTAAGCCATTTTTTTTATTAAAAAATCATTGTATTGGGGGTCCTTACAATTTGTTAAAATCCATACGTCAATTGTATCAGACATTTAAGTACATATGTTGCCACTGTTCTTTTCTAGACATTTACTTTCTATTGCGCCCTTGGGATCAGCTCCTCTTCCCTCCCTCCTCCCCTCACCCTCATGGCCCCCTGATAGATTATAAATTATTATTTTCGTATCTCACATCGACCGCTGTCTCCCTTCCCCTCTGGTTTCTGTTCTTCTCCCTGGAGGGGGGGTGTGGCTATGTGCCATTCACTGGGATTGGTTCCCCTTCCTCCCCACCCCCACCCCTCTTTACCCCTCCCCTTCTGGTATCACTATTCTCACTCCTGTTCCTGGATTCTGTGTGTCATGAGCTTTATCTCTTTTCTATACCTGTGTACATGTTCTGGTCCAGTCCAGAGTGGGCAGGAGCACTGGGGTCATGAGAGTGGAGGGTGAGGAAGCCTCAAGGAACCAGAGGCATATTGTGTGATCCATCAGTGTTCTACTGCACCCTGACTCATCCCTTCCCTGCGACCCCTCTGTGGGGGGTATGATCCATTGTCTACAGATGGGCTTTGAGTCTCTGCTCCAATGCCCCCCTCCCCCGCATTCTCAACATATTTGAGTTTGTTTGTTATGAATCTTCTGATGCCCGTTACCCAGTCCTGATGACACCTCATGATCGCACCGGCTGGTGTACTTCTTTCATATGGGCTTGTTGCTTGCTTCACTGTTAGATGGCTGCTTGTTTAACTTTAAGCCTTTAAGTCCCCAGACACTTTATCTTTTAATAGTCAGGCACCATCTGCTTTCTTCACATTTGCCTATGCACCCATTTTGTATTCAGCTATGGTGTGTGTGTGTGTGTGTGTGTGTTCGTTCTGGGAGGTGGGGAGACAGCAGGGTTTCCTAAGCTATTAAAGGGAACATACATACTATCAAACTCAAACTCACTTCCATCAAGTCAATTCTGACTCAGTGACCCTCTAGGACAAAGTAGAACTGCCTTTGCGAGATTCTGAGACTATAACTCTGTATGGGAGTAGAAAGTCTCATCTTTCTCCTGAAGAGTGGGCTGGTGGTTTCGAACTGCCTACCTTGCAGTTAATAGTAGCTCAATGTGTAACCACTACACCACCACCTACCCAGGTCTAAAATGTCTGTGACTTTGACTGAATTATTTATAATTCTGCAAAGATCAGCACACTAACACAATGTGCTTCTGAAAAGGTGTACTAAGTCTGGGTTTATTTCAAATACTCAGTAGGAAACTGATTGCAAATGGACAATCTGTGGTAAATTCTTTCCTAAAGGATAGCACTGTCTAAATGTTTTGTTCTTGATAAATGTGGTAGCTAGATTTTATGTCAACTTGATGGTACCCGTGCCTAACACAAAAAACATGAGGTTTTATAAATATACATTTTAAAAATTCAGACATAAAC